GGCTTATTTGCCTGCCCCGGCACTGCCCTTGCCCCAATGCTCCCCGTGTCCCGCTGTTTGCACGGGGTTTGGCTCGGGTTCAGTCCGAGCCCAGCCCTCCTTCAGCGTGGTCACGGCTCACTGGAGCGTGGGAAGTGGCTCTGGCTTCCCCCCCTTTGGTTGTGTTTTGTGACTTCCAGCCCAGCCCGGTTGGGAGACGTGCCCTCGGGGAAGGAGCCTGCTTGGGCTGCATGCAGGGTATGAGGTTTAGGCCCTGTCCTGGGTCAGGCTTTGCCCATTGCTAACCAGGGCCGGTTGCGTGTTGCTACTTGTGTGCTGAGCCCTCTGCCCCCCGGGGGATGGCTCCAGGCCAAGAGCTAAGGGGGAGTCCACTCTTGGACTGGCTTTAGGTGCAGTTAAAACCTCCCCCATGCTGCTGCCCTGGAGGTGTTGGCATAGCTGGGCAGGTACTGCTTCTTGGCCCTGTAGGGGGGCAGGATGAACACACCGCGGAGTGTAGGTTAGCTCCGTGCCCCTGCTTTCCAGCCAGCACCCAACAACCTGTTAGGCCAATACTGCTCCAAGTGGGGGCCTCCTTCTATGGCCACATCTGTGCCTGGTGCCAGAGATCTCCCCTGAGCTCAGAGCCTGGCTGGGGTCTGACACACTCAGGTGTGCGTTTCTGGCAGGGGATGTTCCCTCTGGAAATGCAAGGGAAAGATCCCCAGGCCCTGGGGGGGTCTCCCCTCTCAGCAGCTTTCCTTGCACCTCGAAGGGAATCTCTCTCTTGCCCGCTGGTGGACCTCAGATGCTGGATAGGAAGTACCTGGCCCAGTCTCGCAGTCACGCCCCTGGGATCAGGGCAGGTTCCGGCTTGGTGATGGCTGACTGTGTTTGAGGAGGGTCGGCCATCGTCCCGCCTTCTGTGCAAGGACCTGCAGCCATGTGGCTTGTGCTGTTTTTGACGTGCTCTCCCCAGGGCTGGCTGGTCTAGAATCTTACATAGGGTTGGGGGAGGTTCCTTCCTTCCAGGGCCAGCTCCAGGGTTTTGGCCGCCCCAAGCAGCCAAAAAAACAAAACAAAAAACACCGCGATCGCGATCTGCAGCGGCAATTCGGCGGAAGGTCCTTCGCTCCGAGCGGGAGTGAGGGACCATCCGCCGAATTGCCGCCGAAAAGCTGGACCTGCCGCCCCTCTCCGGAGCGGCCGCCCCAAGCACCTGCTTGCCAAGCTGGTTCCTGGAGCCAGCCCTGCTTCCTTCAATGTTAGGGAGGCTGCAGTGCTTAGCCTGGGGAGTGGATCGCTCCATTCAGAGTCTTGCTGCCAGAGTGGACTGTTAGAACCAGCTGTGGTGAGTGGAGCTAGAGCAGAGAGGCCAGTCTTGTTGTGAAGCCCCCAAGCGTCCCTGGGTGCAGCCTGCAATGGTTAATCATTGACTGTATTTGAAACACAAACACCCTTAGTTCTACTCTGATTTTGATTCAGCTTCCAGACATTGGATCTTGTTCTGCCTTTGTCTCAGAGTAAAGTTCCCTCTCCCCTCAAATCTTTCTGCCATGTGGGGACTCTGACTGTGATCGAGTCACCTCTTAACTTTCCCTGGGAAACTAAACAATTGATCCTCCGGCTCTCGCTGTGCCAGACGGACTCGTGCTTCTGGCTCTTTGGAACCTTTCCAAGCGTTCTCAGCATCCGGTGGGAAGTGCGGCCCCCAGAACTGGACACGGCGTCTAGTAACAGTCTCACTATGGCAGTCTACAGAGGTGACACGGCCTCCCTCGTCCTGCTGATGGTTACCGCTTAGAGAATATTTCCATGGATTCGAGTCAGCAGGGTCTGAGGAAGTTCATCCTAGGGTACTAAGGAACTAGTTGTCCCCATCTCAGAACCATTAGCAATTAATTTGCTTGGAGAACTCAGAGGACTGGAGAAGGGCAGACAGGTAAAAAAAAGGAGAACAAAGAGGACCCAGGGAATTATAGACCATTCAGCCTAACTTCAGTACCTGAAAAGATACTGGAACAATTGATTAAACCATCAATTTGTGAGCATCTAGAGGATAACAGGTTATAAGGAACAGCCAGTGTGGATTTGTCGAGAACAAATCATGTCAAACCAACCTCACCTTTTTCTTTGACTGTCCTAGCGGATGGGGGGAAGCCGTAAATGTGATACCTTGATTTTAGCAAGGCTTGTGACACAGTCCCACATGACATTCTCATGAGCAAGCTAGGGCAATGCGGGCTAGACGGTGGGTGCACAACCGGCTGAACAGTCGTACTCACTGAGGAGTTATCGGTGGTTCACTGTCAAACTGGGAGGGCGGAGCTAGTGCATGCATCAGTCCCGAGTCTGGTGCTAGTCGCTATTTTTGTTCGTGACTTGGGTAATGAAGTGGAGAGGGTGCTTATAAAATCCACAGATGACACCAAGCTAGGAGGGGTTGCAAGCACTTAAGAGGACAGGATTAGAATTCAAAATAACCTCGACAAATTAAAGAATTGGTCTGAAATCAATAAGATTAAGTTAAATACAGACAAGTGCAAAGTACTACATTTAGGAAGGAAAAATCAAATGCCCAGCTACAAAAGGGGGAATAACTGGCCAGGTGATAGCTCTGCTGTAAAGGGTCTGGGGTTACAGTGGATCACAAATTGAACATGAGTGAACAATAGGATGCAGTTGCAAAAAAAAAGGCTCTCATCCTCCTGGGGGTGTATTAACAGGCGTCCGGGGAGGTTGTGAAATCCCCGTCGTTGGAGGGTTTTATGAGCAGGTTGGACAAACACCTGCCAAGGAGGGTCCAGCTTTTCTTAGTCCTGCTTCAGTGCAGGGGCTGGGTGTGGTGACACGTCGAGGTGGTTACAGCCCTTCGTTTCTGTAATGCAGGGATTACTTGCTCATACAGCCAAGGATCACGTTCGCCCTCCTGGTGACAGCATTCCGCTGGGTGCGCACATTGGGCAGGCTTGTCAGGACCCCAAGTCCTGGTCTGCGTCACTGCTTTCCAAGGTGCTGTCCCCCAGCCTGGGAGTGCGGCCTGTGCTCTGGGTTCCAGGCATGGGCCTAAGCCCACTTTACCGTGTGATGCGGATCTCTCTGCAGAACTGACCTGGCAGCAGTTACCACGCCAACAACTTTTGTCCTCTGCAAACTTAGAGCAATTGCTTTATCTTCAGCCAGATCACGGAGGATGATACTGACCAGCCTTTGGCCAAAACCAGACCCCTGCGGGACCGCTCTAGAAACAAGATGTATGTAAAGGGCAGGCCACCTCCTCACTGCCCCCTTATGGCCAGAGGTGGCTCTGCAGCACCCAGCCTCAGTTTCCCCTTCACAGGTTCCCAGGAATGCTCCATGGAGGCTTACATGCAATACCAACCCCCTTCCTTGGGGACTGATTCATTAACAAAAAGCAAACCCAAAGGCAAGTCTCTGCTTCACCAGCCTCCCCCGGGGCGCAACACCTTCTCCCGGAGCTCTGGCAGCTCCCAGCCTCTCCATTCGGCCCAATTTTCAGCCCTTCCAGGTTCTGCTCGGTCTGTCCCTGTGAGCTCAGGGGTTGCACAGGCCTCTTTGCTGGGCCTGTTTTTCAACTTCCTTCAACAGCTTCCCCAGCTGCGTCCTTCAGGTGCCTTTTCAGCAGCTCTCAGTCGTTCTTCCCCTTCCCTCCCTGGGCTGAGGGGTCCACAGACAGCACCCCTCCCCCGCTGCTGGCTCCTCTTCAGGGCCCAGGGGCTTCCCGTAAACCCAGTTGGGCACCAAGTAATCAGTCATGGGTGCGCCAGCCCCGCTTCCTCTTAAAGGGGCTAGTCGCCCTGTGACAGCCTCTGGGGACGAAAATACCCCCTTGGTAATTGCTTTTGGAATCTGTCAGCCAGTTTCTAGTCCATTTAATCTGTGCTTCGTTAAAAACTAGCACTATACAAACACAATCCATTAATCTAGTTGTAATGTAATCGAGGCCTGTGGGGCTACCGCTAAATGCCTTACAGAACTCTAACGTCACGGCACGTTCTCTTTACTAACTCTGGTTGTAATCTCAAAACAAGACCAAGTTTGTTTGACAAGACCTGTTTTCTGTGAACCCACATGGACTGGCATTAGTTATGTTGCTTTGCATTCTGGAACAGCTTTTCTAGGATTTCGCCCAGGATCAACGTGACTAATTGGCCTGTAGTTACCCGGCTCATCCCACTTACCCTTTGAGAATATTGGCACATTTTAGAATATTTTCCCCTTCTCTGAGACTTACCCGTTGTCCAAGAATTATGAGATATTACCGATTACTCAGCCACTCCTCAGCCAATTCTTTTACAACTCTTGAGTGCAAATTATCTGTTCTTGTCCCTTTAGAAATGTTTCACTGCAGCAGCGGCTGCTGCTCTCTGGCCTGGTCAGGACCAGGCTGATAGGCCCTGTGGCATCATGGTGCATCCTGGGGTCCAAGGACACTGTCTAACCCAGCTCCTTCCAGTTCCCTCGCCGCCCCGGCTCCTTCGGTGAACCTTGAGAAGCAGAACGGGGGTGGAGCTCATCCCATCCCCAAGCAGACAGGCTCCGGGGCTGCCAGCGACAAGCCTCCCATTTCTAGAATCTTTCAGCTTGTTGCCATGACAACCCCAGCCCTTCCTGGGAGGCTGGCGAGCCCAGTGCCCCCCTTCCCTTCACAATCCCCTTGGACCGGGCTCTGCTGGCTTCTGCAGACGGCTCCGTAGCCCGGGCGGAGCTGGGCTCGGGGCCTTGGCCACCCTGGAGCACCAGCCTTGGGGTCTGAGGCAGGCCTGGGACGCTGGCTGTGGCGGGGGTGGAAACATGCACAGGAATGCAGCCCTTAAATGAGCAGGTGGGGAAGGGGGCCTGGGCTAACGGGTGGTGGTCGGTAGCGGGAGGTACCCAGCCAGAGGGAAGCCACATGGCTGTAGCCGGGAGCCGGCCTGGCCACCCTGAGCTGGGCGTGGGTGAGTCGCTATGGGAACCGCGGTGCGCCCGTCATGCTGAGGTCTGTCTGTCTGTCCGTCTGCAGGTGGCGCCATCGGCTGCTCGGCACAGCGATGGGAAGGAGCTGGGCTGGGTGCTCTTGGTTCGGACGGGGCTCCCCAGCCTGGCCTGCGGCTCTGCAGATCCCTGCGGCGGACGAGCCCCTCCGGAGTGCCTGCCCCCCGGTCGTCCCTGCCTGGTGCCTGGGGAGCAGGGCAGGCCCTGACCCTCACCCCTGAGCAGCCCCGCCCCATGGACCTTGCCCCCCCCCGGCTCTGCCTCCCATCCGTCCCCAGCGCTTGGAGCGGGCGCCATGGCAACGGCTGCAGGCAGCGCGGAGGCAGCCCTGAGCGAGTGACGAGCCGCCGGCGCTGGCACCTGGGCACAGGCGATGGGCAGCGGGCGTGTGGTGCTCTGGGCCCTGCCTGCCTGCAGCTGAGGGGAGCCCCCGGCCCCCAGCCCAGCCACCATGGTGATGTCCCAGGGCACCTACACCTTCCTCACCTGCTTCGCCGGCTTCTGGCTCATCTGGGGCCTCATCGTCCTGCTCTGCTGCTTCTGTAGCTACCTGCGGCGCCGCGTGAAGAGCCAGCAGGAGGAGCGGCTGCGGGAGCAGAACCTGCGCGCGCTGGAGATGGAGCCGCTGCACTACGAGGGCTACTCGGGCAGCCCCCCCGGCATGGCCATGGCCATCCCTCCCCGGCTGCGCATGGAGCCGCGCCACCCCCCCGGCCCGCCCCCCCGGCCCTGGAGCTACAGGCACGGTGAGGGCTGCTTGTGACCCACGGTGCCAATGCCCTAGGCCTGGCCCATCGCCGCCAGGGGCTTCCCAAGGCAGGGAGCGGCCGCTGCTCACGCAGGCTCAGAGCCTGAGGCAGGGCCAGGCCACTCAGCCGGCCACTCAGAGCCTCTCTGGCTACAGCAACCCCCGTGCTGCCCCACTGGCCAGGCCAGCAGAACCCTGGCTGCCTGGCCGTGCTCAGTCCCAGAGCAGAATGCCCTAGGGAGCCTGACCCCCGCCCCACTCAGCACCTGCTGCAGGGCACCTGTGGGGCTGGCTGGGGCCTTGCACCCCTCATGGAGGCTGTGGGCCAAAGGGGGGGAAGAGGCTGTGGTTCAGGCCCCATCTACACATGCAAGAAGGGGGAGAGCCTGGTGCGGCCCCTCACTCAGCGTGTGTCTGCTGCTTGCCTTGCAGAGTCGGATCTGTCCAAGCCCCCGTGCTACGAGGAGGCGCTGCTCATGGCTGAGCCGCCACCGCCCTACAGCGAGGTGCTCATGGACACGCGGGGGCTATACCGCAAGATCAACGCCCCCTTTCTGAGCCACGAGCGCCCCGAGAAACAGGAGCAGCCCCCCAGCTACAAGCCCCTCTTCCTGGACCGAGGTTACAGCACAGCCCTGCACCTGCCCAGCTCTGCCAGCCAGGGCCCGGCCTTCTACCTGGAGGCCGAGCGTGCCCAGCGCATGTTCCCCAGCTGGATGGACTCCGAGCTCAGCAGCAGGGACACGTATGAACCTGGGGCCTGGCACCTCCCTGTCTCCATGCCCTTGTTTGGCAGGACTACGGCGGTTTAGGGGCCTGCCGGGCAGAGTGCCACACTGGAGCCTGCATGGACTGGGGCTGCAGCAGGGCCTGCCTGATCCGAAGCTGCCCGTTCTCCTTGGGAGCCCGCCCTGGGCCCCACCTCAGGGCTAGTGCAAACCCTGCCTGGACAATGTGAAGCGCTGCCTGCTGCGGCCAGTGTGTGAGGGGCTGGTCCCCATCTCGCCCTTGGTGCTGACTGGGGCTCCGAGCAGGCCCTGCACTCGGCTCTTTCCTAGTTTGTTTGTTACAGTTTGAGAATAAAAGTTTGTGGCACCAGATTCATTCCAAGCAGGGCCAGGCTGCCTGGGTGTGGGGGAACTCGGGGCAGGCTCCACCCTGCCCTCCACAATGGGGCCTGGAGCATCCCTCTCGGCAGGTGAGCACAGCCCCACAGGGCTGGACCCACTCTCCCCCTGGGGTGCTCGTGGGCTGGCTCTGTCACAGCACAATGCCCAGAGCCCAGCTCCTGCAGCCAGGGCGCCTCCCCCATGCACTCGCTGCCCCTCCCCCAGAAAGCAGCCAGGTTCAGGCCAGGCCAGGGTGGAGGCGATTTATTTATTAACATACATTAGCACGTTGCCAATACACAATTTGTGCTTTCAAAAAAACCAGTTACTGTACTTGAGAAGGGGACCAAGCAAGGGGGGACAAAGCAGAGGGGGGGGCGCAGGGGGCTGACAGTCTGGGGGGTTGCCACATAGTCTCCTACTGAGACTGGCAGGGTCCTTTCAGCTGAGACAGCCGGGCACTAGCTCTCTCCTAGCCCCCACCCTAGGGGTGCATAACACCTTCCCCTGGGGGGGCGGGGCTCGGCTGCACAAGCACCTTGGGGCGCAGCTGAAGTGAGGGGGGGCTGCAGCCAGCCAGAGCCGCACCCACACAGGGTCATTTTATTGCCATATTTATTTTTGATTCGTGCAAAGTTCTCAGGGCTCTGGGCAGAGCCAGCGGGGGAGAGGCGAACGAGGCCCCTGCCCCATGCACAGAGCACCAGCTGCCCAGCCTCCCTCAGGGCACCAGGGTCGGGGGAGCTGAGGGGCACGCAGAAATATACAAGCTCAACGCAAAGAGGCAGGAGCGGCAGGGTGGGGGAGCAGGGAACTATAAGGGAAGGGGGGCGGGCGGACCCACATGGCTCCTAGTGAGACAACTTTTAAAAAAAAGAGAGAGAGAGAGAGAGAGAGAGAGGAAAGCTGTAAAAGTTGCCCTGCGGGGGCAGGGGTGCCTCGGGGCTGGCCCGTCCAGCCGGGCCCAGGGGCACACGCAGACGGAGAGGGATGGGGCTGGGCCCCTCGCTGTGGCCGTCTTGCACTGCTGGGATCTCACGGTGGCGGTCCCGGGGGGTCTGACGCGCACAGGGCCCAGCCTTAGACGCTGCCCCCAAAGCTCTCCTCGTCCTCAGGCACCGGGTCGGCATCCCAGCAGGTGATGTCGATCTCTGTGGGAGAGTCGGACGTGTTAGCGCCAGGCAGCCCAGTGCCCCCCTCGAGGGGGAGCAAAGCAGGGCTCTGGGCTGCCCCCCACATGCCCAGGGCTGCCTCACTCACCGGGGGGCTTGGCGTAGAACACAGCAGGAGGAGTTTTGGCAGACGTCTCCACCGGGCCGAACTCTTCGTCCTGCGACTGGCTGAAGTAGCCCTCGCTGGCCTGGAAAGGAGAACGGAGCCGCCATCAGCCATGGAGGAGCCCAGAGCGAGCGAGCGAGCGGCCAGCAGGGACAGTGCTTCCAGCTGGCCCTTTACCACCTGGCCACGGCCCAGGGCTTGCGGCTCCAGGACACCCCTCCCGCTGCTACTGCTGCAGGCTCAGGCTGGGCTCTGTACCCAGGAGCCGGATCCCACCTGCCAAGGGGTCCGCAGGGTCAGAGCCAGGGCCGCAGTGGGTATGGGGCAGGCGCCCCAGGGAGCCTCTTGCCTGGCCAGGTTGGGGGAAAGGGCACCAGGTGCAGCAGCGCCCAGCTCACCTGCACTCCTTCCTTCTGGGCCATCTCTCCGTTGGTCAGCAGCTGGGGATCGGGGACCTGCTGCCCGCCGGCGGCCTCCTGCAGGGCATGCTGGTAGCTGAGCGTCATCTGGTGCGGCCCCTCCATGGCAATGAGGCTGGCCGGCTCCTCATCCTGCTCCGCGTCGCAGAAGGTGGCCGGTGGCTCGGGCAGCTCGTCGAAGTTCAGCAGGTTGTCGTCAGGGGGGGCGGGGGCTGCGGGGGTGGCTGGGGGCACATCCACCTCCACCAGGAGGGGCGCAGGGGGCCCCGACGGCGCAGGTGTGGCCAGCTCCCAGGCAGCGGGCGGGGTGGTGCTGTCGTTCTGCCACAGGTCGATAAGGCTCTCGGGGCTGGAGCCGGGGGGCTGCGCGGGGCCCGAGGACTCGCCCTCTGCGGGCAGCACGGCCACGGGGAACAGCAGCGGCTCTCTGGGCTCCAGGAACACAAGGTCCTCGGTGGGGCCCAGCCCACCCCCCTGCGCCGCTGTCCACTCAGGGTCCCCAGGCAGCTCGTCTGCCATCAGCGGTGCCGGCGCCTCGCTGCTGGGTCCGGGCGAGTCTGCACGGAGGGGGAGAGAGCGCATCAGAGTCCAGCCCCTGCTCCCGCCTGCCCTCCGGGGAGGGGCCCCCTGGGCTCCCCTGCACCCCACCTTTCCACGGGGCCTGCTGCGTCACTTCGTCCAGCGCCCTCTCGATCTGCTCCCCGACGGGTGTGGAGGCCGGGCTGGAGTCACAGGGGCTGCAGCCCACGGCCGAGGCCTTTCTGTGAGCATCCGACTGGCTGCCTGCGAACGAGCGAGACGGAAGCTGAAGGGGCCCCAGGCCGACCCCTCGCCAGCCAGTGCGTTGGCACGGGTGCAAATAAGCAGGCCCCTCGTTTGCAAATTAATATGCTTCACCTCGTTTGCACGGATAGCCCCTCCCATCGTCAGCCCATCCTGGAGTTTCCTTCTCCAGCCAAGAGTCCCTGGGGGCGACTCCTCCCTCGGCCCACTGGGGCATGCAGCAGGGTGAAGGCCGGAGGCCTGCCAGCAGGACACTCCATCCAGGCGGCTGGGGGCCCCAGGGCCAGCCCTTGGGGTTCACAAACACGAGCGGGGTTGCTCCCCCGCGCCCCAAGGCTCTCCTCACAGTCGGCCCGCCCCACCCAGCCAGCCAGGTATTCAGGCCCCAGGCCTACAGTCACACCCCTGCTAGAGCTAGACACCCCATGGGAGCTGGGCCCAGCGCCTAGCACGTGCCAGCCCAGGGAGCCCCCTCTCCTTCAGCCAGGCCACGGGGGCAGCACTGCAGCGGGAGCAGGCCCCCTGACGGGACGGGGACAATCCTGCGCCCACCTGACCCAGTCGCCACTTTGCCACTTTAGGGAGAAATTTCACATATGTATTCTACTGAAGCCAGCCCCTTGGCACACCCTAGCCCCCCAGCACGCCCCAGCCCTCCAGCACGCCCTGGTCCCGCAGCACGCCCCAGCCCTCCAGCACGCCCTGGTCCCGCAGCATACCCCGCCCCCCAGCACGCCCCAGCCCTCCAGCACGCCCTGGTCCCGCAGCATACCCCGCCCCCAGCACGCCCCAGCCCTCCAGCACGCCCTGG